CAATCGACTTTTGTTTCTTCTCTCAGACACAAGTAGATTGCTAGCTGACAAGTGTTTCAGAGCGCAGGAATAGGTCCGCTGGATCAAAGGCTGTTTCAGAGTGTGCCGGAGTTCTTGCCCCTTTCAGTGGCTCCTGATGTTGCTCTCTCTGCATCGGCGCTCGCTTCCCCTTAGGGGGCACACTTTGAAGCAGGCCCCCAGATCATTCGCACCTTTTGGGTGGATGCCCGGGCTCTGTTTGGCTGCATGGCTATGCTTTGCTTGATGCTTTGTTGGTGGTTAGCGTAATTGATTTTTGTTTCTTCCCTCAGACACCAGTACATTGCCAGCTGGCACCTTTTGGGTGGATGCCCGGGCTCTGTTTGGCTGCATGGCTATTCTTTGCTTGATGCTTTGTTGGTGGTGAGATGAATTGACTTTTGTTTCTTCCCTCAGACACTAGTAGATTGCTAGCTGACAAGTGTTTCAGAGCGCAGGAATTGGTCCGCTGGATCAAAGCCTGTTTCAACTTGGATCAAAGCCTGCTTCAAAGTGTGTCGGAGCTCTTGCCTCTCTAAGTGGCTCCTGACGTTGCTCTCTCTGCATCGGCACTCGCTTCCCCTTAGGGGAGGATGCCCCCACAGGGGACTCCTGCCGATGCAAGAGCTAACGCAGGTGCCACCTGGAGAGGCAAGAGGTCCGGCGCACTTTGAAGCAGGCCCCCAGATCTTTTGGGTCCCATCATTTCCAAATTTCCGGGTCCCACACATCCAGAATTTTCCGGGCCCCAGAAAGTCCAAAATTTTCGGTTCCCATAAATCCCAAATCTTCCGGGTCCCATCAATCCCAAATTTACCGGGTCCCATACATCCAGAATTTTCCTGGCCCCAGAAAGTCCAAAATTTCCGGGTCCCAGAAATCTCAAATTTTCCGGGTTCCATCAATCCCAAATTTTCCGGGTCCCACACATCCAGAATTTTCCGGGCTTCAGAAATCCTAAATTGCGCGCTTAGTTCTTTGCAGTGTTTGTTTAGTTGTTCGTATTGTTCTTTGTTTGTTTGGTTGGTTGGTTGGTTGGATGTGGTCGTACCGTGAAGAAGTCTGTTGTAATCTTACGGGGCCTGGTGGTTTGTTTGTTTTCAGGAGCTGCCAAAATGGTGGGGCTTTGGGTTTGGTAGGGGATTTGGTACGCGTGTACGCCTGCACGCGTTCATGCCTATATGCATGTTCGCCTGCACGCATGTACGCGTGCATGGGTGTTCGCGAGTGTCGCGGTTGCCGTGCCAATGGGGAAGGCGAAAAACGTGCTATTTGGATGACTTGAAGCGTGTCATTTTTCGTGCCCCTGTGCGGGAATTGTAGCTCGTAGCATGTCAGATGTTGTTTTGCAGCGCAGGCGCAGTGTTTTGTGCGGGTAGACAGCGTCGCTGTTGCGGCAGTGCGATTTGCGCTTCAGGGGTCGTTGTTTTGAGGTGTTTTGCTTGGAATGCGCGTGCAACTGTTTGCTCGAGTGTTATTGTCGTTGGCCCCGTCGTACAGGCGGTTTGTTTTCACGACTTCAGATTTGCAAGAAATCGATCGAAATCATTCTGGCGCTGCAGTCCTGTGCCAGTTTTCTGAATGCGGCGCGCGTTGCTGCGTGATTGTGCCAGCCACGTGGCTGGCGTGTGCGCAGTGCTGGGCGGGCTCAGTTAAACGGAGGCGCTGCAGTCCTGTGCCAGTTTTCGGAATGCGGCGCGCGTTGCTGTACGGGCGCGCGTGATTGTGCGTGCTAGCCACGTGGCTGGCGTGTGCGCAGTGCTGAAGGGCATTTCTTGCATAGTGGCTAAAGGCACTTTAGAACAGAAGGCCAATCCAGTTCAGCATCCAAGCTAAGAAGGTTGGAAGCAAGTGTGAAACGAGGAAACGTGAGGGAACCAAACTAACACGTAACATGTGTTGCTATGAATGCATTGAGTTTGGTAGGCTTGGGTATGCATTGATCATTCCTTGATGTCTTGCCATTTTGGGACTCAAGTGGCCTTGAGCCAAAACTGGCAATTTTGAGTTAACTAAGTTCAACATGCCCCTGTTGCGTCCTGGCATTGATGTGGCGGTGCACACGGAGTGCCGGATGCTGTCTACAGCGGCGGGGTTGGACTTCAAGCAGCACATCATTCTGGTGCAGGCCCGGGGGGACCGGGTCGCCGCTCTTCGGCTGTGGCAGTCGGTGGGGATGGTGGTGCATTTTCGTCCGGGGGACGGTTTCGAGGTTCCGGGGCTGCCCCCCATTTTGCACGTGCGCGCATGGAGGAATGCGCGTGGTTTGGAGCGGGATGATGACTTCGCCTTCATGTTCCTGTCTGAGGAGGACGCCTATGCCGAGGGGGGCACAGCGCTGGCCGAAGCATGGCTGGAAGTGGCCGGCCAGGCATACGAGCGGCTGATGCCGGCGGCTGTAGCAGTGGCGGAGCCGCATGCTGGCCCTGAAAGGGGCGGCGAGCCCCGGCCCCGCTGGCCGTGCAGCCGGACCATCTTGCTGAGGTTCTGCGGCATGTGGAGGTCCTGGCGGCGGCGCTGATGGGCTTTCGTGCCATGAGGCTGTCCGGGGAGTTGACCCCGGCTTTCAAGGGGGAGTGGGAAGCTTCATGCAGGCGGCGAGCACAGCATCTGCTCACCTTCTCGGAGAGGGCAGCCGTCATCAATGCCCTCAAGACCCGGGCTGAGGTGCGCACGCACATGGAAGGAAGGGGTTGTCCTCTCCCTCCCCAGCATGTGGATGTCGACTCTTTCTTTCAGTACAGAACTTCAGCACCGGCGAGGGCTATGGCATCATTGAAGTGCTTGGTGAAGCAGTCCAAGCTGCCGTTGGACCTGGGGGCGATCCAGCTCTCGGCGAAGCAGCCCAGGCTGGGGAATCTGCCTGGCAGGCTGCAGTGGCGGAGCCGCCCATGCTCCCCATGCTGGAGGACATGATCGTGTCCAAGTACAGGGCCAATGACCCAGTATGGTCAGCCCTGCTGGGCTGGTGGCTGACAGCCACCGGAGTTCTTTGCTACGCGCACGTCATGAGGTCATGGCCCAGGCGGTTGAGCCACTCCACTTTTCACGGACGGTGCTCCAGAGGCAAACAACGGCAGAACAGGCAGGGGTTCGACTTCTGCATCCCTGCTGTTCTCGAAAGTAGCTGGCCCTGGGGGCAGATTGCGGCGAGGTACGCCCTTTCCTTGCGCACCAAGCACAAAGTCCTTGGCATTGCCCATGCCCTACAGGCCTTTGATGCCCGGGAGGTGATCCCGCCGGAGGCAGTGGAGGCGGTGCTGCCGGCGGCGGAGAAGGCGGTTGGCGCCGCAGTTGCTCAGGACAGTGCGGCCTTATGGACCTCGCCAGCGGAGAAGGCGGACATCAAGAAGCGCCTGGTGATGTTGAAGCAGCGCCAGAGCACCACTGCAGCGCGCCAGGCCAGTGGGCGTAGGCGGGGATCGCATGTGGAGACGCCCACGCTCCGTGATGGGGCACTGCTGTGTGCGCTGTGGCAATCCGGGGCATGTGCCCAGTCGGAGGAGGATTGTGGCCGCAGGCACCAGTGTGCCATTCTCTCTCGCACGGGCCGGGTGTGTGGAGGGAACCACACAGCCGCAGAGTGCAGAGAGAATGCCGAGGTGGAGGAAACTCAGCCGATGCTGCGGAACAGGCAGCAGTAGCAGGCTTTAACCTGCTATCCGAAGCTTTTGTTGTGATTTTACAATCTGGGAACCGTAGCTGCCGTACCCTTCACACTCCTCCAGGCGCATTTGCCGCGCTAACTTGGGATATAATAAAGCTCTGTCAACATTGAAGGAAACCTCAGGAAATTCGCCAAACCGCAATTTTTGATTGAAACGGCTGAAATTTGTTGAAACGGCACTAACTTCTGCAGTTTGGCCAAAGGGCAGAAATTACGTACCCTCGGAAGATCCAGGTATGCATGTTCGCCTGCACGCATGTACGC